TCTATTTTATACACGCACACACACACACACACACACACACACACACACACACACTCAAACACACAAACATATTAAGGTCTATAAAGTCAAATTTGTGTTCCTAAATGCCCTTTACTCTGGATCCATCCACTTGAGCCTGGTTAACTCAAGAGTTTCACTCTTAGAAAAGACTAACTCTCCCACTCCCAGAGGCCATTGGTTGCCAATAGTTCCTCAGGTAGGGTTGGGATTTCTTACTTCCCCATGTCTATGCTGAGATTTTGTTGGTCTTGAGCTCACGTGGAACTTGTACATGTCACCACTGCTGTGAGTTCATATGTGAAACTTACCAACTGGAAAACTGTTTCCTGTGGTCATCTACCTTCTCTGGCTCGTTATCTTTCTGTCCCCTCTTCTGCAATGATCCCCAAGCCTGGGAGGCATAAGTTTGATACAGGAGTCCTATTCAGGGATAAGCACTCTTCAGTCTCTTATTCTCTGCTCATTGTCATCTCCTAGATAAAGAAGTTTTGTCTGGTAAGAGTTGAACAATACATTAATCTATGGGTCTAACAAGACGTCGTTAGGAGTGAGTTTAATACTATTCTATTTTGCACACTATTATTAGGCTTTCCCCTGTGGTCTGTGATCTGTCCAGCCACAGGTTCCTAGGCCTGATAGCAATGTCAGATATGGGCTCCATCTTATGATGCAGACCTTAAATCCAGTTAGAAAGTGGTTGGTCACCCCCATAATATTCATGCCACTACTGCACCAATGGACACATCCTGCCAGGCCAGTTTTTGTAGCTCCCAGGATTCACAGCAGGGTAAGGCTGATAATTAATTTTCCCTTCAGGTAGCATGCATAGTACTTTTCAGCATTATGAAGGCTAGCCAATAGAGATGAAGCTTTGAAGTCAGCAGTAGCTTGACTTTTCCTTCTTTGTTCTACAGCTCATATATGTAGTATCTTCAGTAATAGGGTCTTACCATCAAGTTCTTGTGGGTAAGCAAGAGCTGGGGCAATGGCCAGTTTTGTTGGAGGTCAACAGCTTCAAAAGAGGGAATCTGTTCTTGACATTGAGCTTTTGCTTTGCTAGTCTGTGGTGTTAGGAGGGGCAGTGTCCCCCTGTTCTCCTTTAATAATGGATACTAAAGCTTCTATGGTGGTAGGTTTCCACATGACTTTTTCTAAATGCCTTTAGTGTTAGTTATCCTCCCCATACTCCCTCCTCTGCCCTGCCTGCTCATTTATTTAGACAAGATCTTGCTATGCTATCTATGTTAGCTTCAAACTTGTGATCCTGTGCTCTAGTCGCCCAAATGACTGTGAGTACAGCTGTGCATAACCATGCCAGGCTGGGCGCAGGCTTTAATGATGGGAGTGTGCTGTTTGCTAAGTTATCAGCCTGTCCTATCTTCACTAGCTCCTCTAGTTTTTCAAAATTATGCCACAAGAAGGTTAAAAAAAATTATGAATTGCAGAGATGTCTTAAATAGGCTTGATCCTGTTTATTTGAAAATATAGTCAGTTTAGCACATACCATTATGGGCAGCAATCTCTTCCAAACACTGCCATTCCCTAAATATTGAAGCAGTTCTTTGACAGGAGTTCACAGTCAAAGACCCTAGGGAGAGAAATAATTTTGCTGCCTATGTTTGCAAATACAGTTTAATGGAACACATATGCAAATGTACGTACATAGTGTCTAAGGCTACTTTACTGTAATGACTGGGTAGAATAGTTGTGACAGACTGTGTAGGCCACAGTGCTGAAAATATTTATTATCTGGTTCCTTTCAGAGAAATAAAAGCCGACTCCTACTAAGGATACTGAGTTATATTTTGTACTGGGAATTTGAACAAGAAACAGAGGGAGATCTTTCATTGTGTACCGTTTCAAACTCACAGTGTCTAAAAAAATGTAACTCTATTAGTTGGTCAAAATTAGCTTAATGAAAACTAAAGTAAAGTAAAGATAACCAAGTATCTTCCGGTACCAGGGCTGTAAGGGGGCGGGGAGAAACATAAAACTGAGTTTGAGTAGAAGATATTATTGTATATATCAAAATTAATTATATGAAAATTTAAAATTAGCTTATTAACATAATTTTACTTCTGCTTATTTTGTAGGAAGTTCTAGAAATTTTCTAGGCTCTAGACATTCATTTATAGAAAAAGACATTCTTAGCAGAGTTTTAATGAGTGATACTTTATATGGAAGTCTGAGTAAAATGCAGTTTTAATAATCTCAACGTGGTCATGCTTGTATGTCAGGATTATTTGTTGGGAATTATTGTAATTATTAATCCAGGAATTGCTATTGATCACCTGATTTATGGCAGATAACCATTCTAGGTGCTGGGTACTGTGAAGCAATGAAGTCAAGTTCATACCCTCAAAGGGTTTGTGTAGTCGATGAGATGAAGAATGAACAAATACATATTATAAAATACTGTGCAATATTACAAAATGCTACAAAATAGATATTTTGTATAAAATAAAAGCAAATTATAAAGAGGTGTTGGGTGGTGTTTTCAGTGGAGTGTTGGGAAGGCTTCTCTGTATTTCATCAGATGCTGAACTGAGGGAGTGGTCCATGGGCTCTTCTGAGGGAGGCATATTCCAAACAGAAGACGCCTAGAAGCAGAGATAGCTCTTTGAAGAACTCCAGGCAGGAACAAGAAGATAGGCATCTGGGAATAGAGGAAGGAAGGGAAAGAGAATTCAAAAACAATGTTGAAGACATAACAGGATGAGAATCAATTGTGAAGGTTTTGGCCAGGCCATATCATCTTGTTTATTGTGTTTTGATAGGACTCGTCTAACTCTTTTGAGAAGGTAATACACAGAGGCAAGATTGGAAACCAAGAGATCATTTTGAAGGGTGCTTCATTAGTTCAGATAGAGCCTTGATTCATTTAGTAAAATTGGTGAGTTAGGATTTGGGTCAATATATATATTGAAATGGGGGAGAATGGGACCAAGTTTGTCCAAGTAGAAGGGGATTCAGAATTCCGTATGGACACGTGAAATATGAAGAGCCCATTGGATATTGGCAAGATGGTATAAAGCGGCTACCCCGAAGCTCTGGGCAGATGCTGGCTGTCCTAGATAGATTTTTTGGTTGATGTTAGCCTTTGAATGGTGTTTCAAGCCATAGGGCTTAGGTATTGTTAATAATAAGAATCTAAGGTTTGAGCCCTAGAAAATCATCTGGAAGAAGAACGGACTCAGCAATGAGACTGAAGATACAGCCAGTGAGGGGGAGGAAATCTCGGGGTGCCAGTACACAGACAGGAAGAGGTGAGATATGGAGCACTAACTATGTCAGCTCCTTCTGAGAGGCTAAGATCTTTGAGGATGAGAAATAACCATTGGGTTTGGCAAGGTGAAGATTTCTGCTGACTTTGGTAAGTCTGGCTTTCTTTGTCTGGTGAGGAGAAAGCCTAATTAGGTTGGGTTGCATTTATTAAGAGTGACTGAGGAGAGTGGATGTTAGAAGTGAGCGGTCTGTCCTGTCAGTCCCAACAGGAGGCGAGGCAGTGTTCTATGCAAATGCAGACAGGATCATGAACTTAGTATACAAAAGTGAACAAGATTGTCAGCCGAGCATGGTGATGGATAGGGGTGGATAGCATGATGATGGATGAGGTTTGAGAGGGTGTGAAAGAGTCCTCAGGAGACATTGAGAATGGAGATAGATGGTGGCCAGGCAGTATGGGTCTTATCTTGTGTTTATGGTGGTATGTATTTTTTTTCTATCATGATTGGGCAAAGACTTTTATCTTACTGATTTTATCTTATTTACTGTATAATTATCAGTGCCTTATTTTGTACTTTTCATATTTTATCAGTTACTTAAGGCTTTGTGGGTACTTTTTTTTTGGTCTTTTTTGCGACAAGGTCTCCCTGTTGCCCCAGCTGGCCTGGAACTCACTATGTAGACCATGCTAGCCTTGAATTCAGAGATCGGCCTGCCTCTGCCTCCTGAGTGCTGGGATTAAAGGCATGCACCACCACGCCTGGCAGTGGATATGTTTTTATATATAATTATATATATAATATATATATTACTATATTACTTTGTTGAGGGGTCTTTAAGAATATTTGTATTGCATAAGATTATTTTTTCTATTATCTAATTTGTTAATAATTGCATATTTATAATTAAAAATCATTTTTTAAAAAATATTATTTTTATTTTATGTGTATGCGTGTATTGCCTGTATATAGGTTAAGTGCACCTGTGTCGTGCAATGCCCGCAGAGGACAGAAGAAGCCATCGGATCCCTTGGGACTGGAGTTACAGAGGGTTGTTAGCTGCCATGTGGGTGCTGGGATTCAAACCCAGGTCTTCTGCAAGAACAACCAGTGTTCTTAACTACTGACCCATCTCTCCAGCCCCCTAAAAATCATTTTTAGTTGAAGTTCACCAAGCTAGAATAAGCTAGGATAGTGTAATAATTTATTAATGTTATTTGACCCTTGAAAATTCTATCCCAGTCTACATTACCTACAACAGAATGTTCTGACTTATGTCCCACTTTTATAAGATGGCCTGATTTAGATGAAATCCTTATTACATTTATTTATGAAAAGGTTAGACAGTAGGTACTTAGTGTTTCTTTCCATTCACTTTTTTGCATGCTTTGTCTTTATATGAGTTGGCT